TGCTTATTCAAGATGAGGTCTTACTAATGCCTTGTACAGGGTCAGGATTATGTCACTATCTCTCTCTTTGATGGGGAGATTCACCTTCTCTTTTTGTCTTGTTGACTTGTGTCACCAAAACAGGAGGTGTTGGGAAATCTTACTATGGTAAGAGAGGAATTCATCTCACTTTCTTGAGATTTCCTGTTACTTCCTGTTCTATTTCCATGACAGGAGGTAAAGGTAAATCTCCCCAAAAGATACACAGATAGCAACACTCAGGCTGTGTGAAAGAGGGCCAGGACTTGCATCCAATCACACTCTGCTATAATGCATATATGTTGACTCTGAACAGGCTGACAGAATAGGAGAGGACATGCATCACCTCATTAGTGTACTCTTACTCCATTATTGTCCATTCACAGACTGGAGTGGTTCCTGGACCAGGATGCATTGCTATATTGCAGTGTTATCTGCATGAAAGTCCAGGACCAGGATTTAATGGATCACAAACCTGGCTGACCTGGATAACATGTCCTTCTCCTATACAAGTAACATCATTCTCCTATACCTATAATAACGATATATTTAGCTGCTTGTCTGCAGTGCACCTTTAAAGTTGTCCATATGATCCGTTTTATGTAAATTATCTTGTCAGAATGTGATATTGTTTTAAATAAATTTGGGGGCATTTATCAAAACTGGAGCAGACCAGTGACGTGCGGTCAGGGGAGTCAGGTGAGGCAGAACCTCACCTAGTATTATGAAGAAAAAAGGTGTCAGCTTCAATCTGAAGCTGACAGCTTTTTCTCGATTCAGATCAGCTCGTAACAGGTTACACAGCAGGGAAAGCCTCCTCGCCGTGTAACCTATCATGGACGGAGCGCTGCCTGTTAATTACAGGCAGTGCTGCATCCGGCTTTTGACAGCTATGTTAGGTTGCACAGCAGCAGGCTTCCACACTGCTTGTGTAACCTAACTTTGTGAGGCAAGATCTGTCAGAGCCTCTGCTCTATGTTAGAGGCGTGAGCTATGTGGATAGTTTGGACCAAAGGCAAAGCGCCATTGGTCCAAGCTGTCCAATCAAAAACAAACAAACAGTGAGAACATTGATGTCGAGGCCTCACCAGTGACTCACCAGTGACGAGCAAGTGAGGGACAGGACTCCTCCCTGTCTCCTCCCTTCCTCCTCCCCCACATAGCTTGGTTACCGAGCTGGGGCAGAGATTTGGCAGGATGGAGTCAAACTTCGGTGGGTCCCTGGGCGAAACTTCGGCGTGTTGGGGGGCGGGGCTTGGGAATGCCTCACCCAGCACAGAAAGCACGCCACGTCACTGGAGCAGACAGAATCTGGAGCAGTTGCCTTTGACAACCAATCAGCATCTCTCTTCAGTTTGCTCAGGTAAGATTTGAAAATGAGACAGAGAAGCTGATTGGTTGAAGTGCAAATCTGCTCCAGTTTTGATAAATTCCCCCCCATTGCATTCTTACTTTAAAAAAAAGATGGCGGGAGGGTGCATGCGTGGCTCTTTCCAGTGGACATGTTGTACGTTAGATCCGTGCCACCAGGGAGGACTAAAGCCGTATACATCCACAATTACCCAAGGAAACCCACATTGCCACTACTGCTACAAGGGGGAACAACCGGAGCATAAGATGACACCTCCATCTGTCTGTAAAAGAGTCAAGTCAGGCAGCAAAAATATTCAAGAAGCCCTTGCACAGGCAGCACCAAAGTTTCAGCGACAGACTCCCCATTTAACCCCTTCGTGACGGGAGACGTACAGTGTACGTCTTGTCACTTTGTGCCTATATGACTGGCCACGTACACTGTACGTGACGAGTTATATCAGGCTTTGTAATGCCGGTATTTGCTGATTCTCAGCATTTAACAGTCATTCATTAATGTCTCAGTATTGAGGCATTAATTAATGAAATAATTAAGCTTTTTGTAAAAGCTTCTTCCTTTCATTAATGAAAGAATGAAGCCGTTACATGCAAATAGAGGACCGCAATTTGCGATCCCGTATTTGACAGCTCAAAACACTCACAGAACCTGAAAACTAGCTCAGTCATGAAGGGGTTAAACAACAGAGAAGCTACCACAGGATTCATTTGATGCGTTAGCTGTTCGTTCTCCCCAAGGACTGTCACAGAGAAAGGTTTCTAATGAACTGCTTCAACAAAAATGAAAAACACTGCAGTTTACCAGTCTTTAAATGTGGTAGATGCAATTTTTCTATTTTAATCTTTTTTTCCCTTCATTTTCCCCCACCAGAGGAAGAAGAGGGCATGAGGATGGAGCGCATGATCTAGTACATCAAAACTGTAAGTCCCTTTTCTATCTTACATCGCTGTCCCCGCACTTTGCGTTACATTACTGCCCTCCACACTCTGCGTTACATTACTGACCTCCGCACTCTGCGTTACATTACTGACCTCTGCACTCTGTGTTACATTACTGACCTCCGCACTCCGCGTTACATCACTGAGCTTCGCACCCTGCATTACATTACTGACCTCTGCACTCTGCGTACATTACTGACCTCTGCACTCTGCGTTACATTCCTGACCTCTGCACTCTGCGTTACACCCCTGACCTCTGCGTTAAATTATTGACCTATGCACTCTGTGTTATACCAACTGACCAATGCACTGTGCGTTACATTACTCACCTCTGTACTCTGCGTTATAACTGACCTCTCTCCCAATACAAAAAAACGATATCGGCATTTACATTTTTCAAATTGACTCGGGTGTCTGAGGTCCGGCACTTGCTCGGGACCTTGCGGCAGCCTTCTGGGGAGCCACACGATGCCTGCTTACAGCGCTTCTGCCACCTGCACATCTCCCCTTACTAAGACCCTCCCCACCCCTCCTGACACCCTCTGCCCAAGACATCAGGCCAGAACCTGATAGAGCAGCAGCACAGAGTATGTAGCAAATTCATATACCATTATTCTGCATTGTTCTATGTTTTGCTGGCATTTGTAGTCCTCTATAGCAGATGGTATTTTTCTGCAAGTCTGTATAATTTGTTGCTGAGAATTGCAGTGCTCTATTGCCGGTGCCATTATGCATTGCTGTATAAAGTATTTATGGGTTTTGTAGTGCTCTATAGCTGGTGGTATTCTGCATTGCTGTATAATGTATTGCTGGGATTTGTAGTCCTCTATAGCTTGTGGTATTCTGCATTAATGTATAATGTATTGCTGAGATTTATAGTCCTCTATAGCTGGTGGTATTCTGCTTTACTATATAATGTAGTGCTGGAATTTGTAGTCCTCTATAGCTGGTGGTATTCTCATTCTGCTTTACTGTATAATGTAGTGCTGGGATTTGTAGTCCTCTATAGCTGGTGGTATTCTCATTTTGCTTTACTGTATAATGTAGTGCTGGGATTTGTAGTCCTCTATAGCTGGTGGTATTCTCATTTTGCTTTACTGTATAATGTAGTGCTGGGATTTGTAGTCCTCTATAGCTGGTGGTATTCTGCATTGCTGTATAGCATAGGTGATTATATACACAGCCCTGGTGTTTGCTGAAAATGCTTTAAACTATAACGAAAAGCTTTTGAGAGTTTTTCTCTTTCTTGGGTCTGAAGCAATACCTGAGGAAGAAAGGAAAACTCTTAAAAGCTTGTCTTTTAAGTATTAGGTTAGTACAATAAAAAGGTATCATTGCATAACGCATTACTACTCACGTATTTTGTAATCTCATTTATAAATACTTATTTAGTTTTTTCAGTGGTATGATTTAGTGGGGAAAATCATTAGTGCACCCCCAGTTTTGACTGTGGTATCTTATGTGCCCCCCTATATATTGTTCCTAGAGTTGCCACTGCATAGGTTGACAATGTTTATTCACTGTACTGTATCGATGTAGAATGTAGCATTTCCAGGAGGAGCTCAATGAATTACTGAAAGGAGTAACGGATCATTTTTCTGTACTTGCAGCATTTATTAAAGAGTCAGAACATGGTGAAATGTGCATATATTGAAGAGATATACTAAATAAATATCAGATGACAATTGGACAAGCAGAATCTAACTGTTCAAACACATCTTTCTAGTTGGTTTCTGGTACAAACATGTGTACTTGGGTAGCCTAAGTATTTCATGTTCATGCTATGGTAGGAAGTGGACGCCTAGCATAAGCTTATGTCGGTGAAGTTTCATGCCTGCAAATGGTCATTTCCCCTTCTCTGAATGCTGAATAAGCTACCATAACTAGATAGGAAAGAAAAGTACAATGGTGCTCTTTAATTTTTGAAAATGAGTCCCAAGTACTGTATTAGCGTCACATGGTGAGAAGCAAATGTCAGTTTTGCAGTTACAGGTCTAACATTATAGGGACCCATATTTATCCACAGTTTGAGCACTTATATGTTAATATATAATACTATTTGGGACAGCATATTGCACAACTTTGTAAAACAACTGAACAACAAGTTACTACACCTAGTTAGCATTTGAATGCAAGACCTGTGCACTTGCTCCCATTTAAACAAAAGACTAGCACATAAACCTAGCAAGGCTAGACATATTTTGCAGTACAACTATATATTACTGATATTTTATGACACTCTGATCTCTCACATATACAGGCCCCAGTGCAGAGCAGTGCTGGAATTTAGCCAGTTAGTAAATTTTTATGTGTGGCCCATCCTTAGGAACAAATTAAACCAACTGATTCATTTGTCTGTTTCTGCAGTTTCCTTAGTATAACATACATTTTATTTTATGGGATAGACACTGCCAGAAATAAATTATACATTTTTTTTGTTTTAGGTGTGTGAGGCATTTTACAACTAAAATTATGAACAAAAATAAGACAGTGCCAAGCCTTAGAAGCTAATAAAAGGGTCTTCCTAGTTTACTGTTGACCAAGCCCATATCAGCACTTGTATAAAAGGCCTAATCACCATTGGATGCCAACAGAGCCAGATTTGACATTGGCCGCTGTTCGTTCTACATCCCAGAGAATTCACTATTGTGCAACAGCAAATTTGACAAGACAAAATGACACACAAGCAATATCGTAAATCTGGAGTTAGGAACTTCAGCTCTTCTTCTTTATGTGCACCAGGAAATGCCAGTGGATTCAGCGTCTCTTCATACCGCAGAGGTCCAAGCTTTGGTAGCAGAAGCCTTTACAATGCAGGCTCTCTTGGTGGCAGAATGTCAGTTGCAAGCTACCATCCTGTGAGGGGCTCATATGGGTATGGTGGACTTGGATCTGGACTCAGAGTTGGTGGTGCTGGATCAGCCTTCAGCTGTAGAGTTGGTGGGGGATACAGTGGTGGTGGTGGTGGTGGATATGGAGTTGGCAGTGGATATGGAGTTGGCAGTGGATATGGAGTTGGTGGTGGATTTGGTGCTGGTGGTGGATATGGTGTTGGTGGTGGTTTTGGAGTTGGTGGTGGCATTGGTGGATATGGAGCTGGATTTAGCCCTGTCGGCATCACACCAGTTACTGTCAACCAAAACCTTCTCACGCCACTCAACTTGGAGATTGACCCAAACCTCCACAGTTTAAGAAAAGAAGAAAAAGAGCAAATTAAAACACTGAACAACAGATTTGCATCCTTCATAGACAAGGTAACATATGACAACATATTTATCTTTGACACCAAAAGTTGTCTTGTAATCTGAATTGTAAGCATTCCCAATATTATGCCTCTAACAACTTTTTTTCAGGTCAGATTTTTGGAGCAACAAAATAAAATGCTGGAGACTAAATGGACCCTGTTACAAGAACAAAAGACTGTAAAAAGCCATATAGAACCCTACTTTGAGGCTTACTTAAACAATCTCAGGAGGCAAAGTGAAGGTCTTGGTGGGGAAAAAGCCCGGCTGGAGGCTGAGCTAAAGAATATGCAAGATACTGTGGAGGATTACAAAAATAAGTAAGTAAAATAGAATGAGACAGCAACATAGAAGAGTTATCCAGGATACATGGAAGTTAATAACGAAAAGCAGGCACAAATTCAACTTGAAATTTGACTGCAGAAGCATTTGTTATGCCACTGTTGAGAAGGGGTCATGTTTAACAGATGTACAAGCAAAGCTCCCGCTACATAAAATGAATGCAAGGTGTATTATATAGTGTGTAGCCTAAAAATATTATCTCTGCAAGTATGGATGGATAGTTGTTGGAAATGTTGTGTACAGTACTAAAAAAAAAACACTAACAGCTCTGAAATAACTTTTTTATTTTATGTTGTTCTAGATTTAATGTGCAAATACACATTGGTTACATACATATGTCCATACATTGCTGAAGTGGTTTTTATTTTTGCTGTCTTTAAGGTATGAAGATGAAATTAATAAGCGCACAGCTGCTGAAAATGAATTTGTTGTACTTAAAAAGGTGAGCATATACATGTCTGTACAGTGGCTAACTGGCTAGGCATAATAGACTGTAGACTCCTTCATGGGGAAGAGTGTGATGTGTATAGGTCAATGGTCTGAGGAGCATGTTTTATGCCAGCTGTTATAATGTTATGTCATGGTTAGTTATGGTCAGTGCGGCATACTTTTGTTATTTTACCTCTATGTTTGTGCAGTGTGGTACATTGGTTTGTTTTTTACCTGAATATTCACTGATACTCTCTGTACCTATGTTTGTAATTTGCTGCCATAAATGTATTATGATGTAAGCATTACATTGCCTGTAAGGCTCTGATTGTTTTTTACTAATCATACTGTACACATCATTTTTCAAATATTTGGTATATTGGTCTCTATGAAATTTTTGCACAATTTTGCTTTTCATTTGTATGGGAAATATACATTGTAGCCTTACTTTATAAGAAGTGATTGACAGAACATGCTGACATGTGTCATTTACTGTGTCTGGAGGACAGCTGATTAGCCAAACTTAGTCTATGTTAAAGCTTAATTAAATTTAGATATGTGCAGAGTAATGAATCCCAAATGGTATCACTATTTGATATATCATTCACTTTGACTTTATGCCAGCAACAATCTGTTTGTTTTTTTGTTTCCACATTTCAAAACATTAATACAGTATAAAGGTTATTTGGTTATCATATTTCTTTCTTCGGCTTGGTAAATAACCTATGCAGATTATTTTAGACCTAACCTAACAAAACATTCCAAACATAGTATATCCCATGCAACTGGTCAATATCTGCTCATAAATCTAATGGGCAAATTGCAAAAACTGACTGCTTCTATGATTACATCTGCATGTTTATGTGTACATCCTATAACCATTAAAATTTTACGCTTCTGGTACAGGTACACCAGGCTTATCTCCAATAGCCACCTATACTTGGTGAATTCATTAGGTACATTGACATGGAAATTGAGCAAAAGAGCGGGGCAAATTTAAAAGACAGACCTTTTTTCTTCTTCTTTAGCTTACTTTACATTTCAGTAAATCCAGCCCATATTAACTTGAAGTGACATTAAACCCTCAGATTTTTTAACATAAACCAATACTGTAATGTGTGCCTTACTGTAATCCATGGTTGTTTCCCTTCTCTTTGCTGCTCTTCCTTGTAAATCCTCATGTCTTCTCATGCTTGGGGAGAACTTCCCTTTGCAGCTGAGTGCCTCTTCCTGTAGCGCTGGCTCAGGTTGTGAACCTTCACACAGACACCATGTATCCATTCCAGAGACAAGGCAGTCTGCTGCAAAACAGGAGTTCTGCCCAGCATGAGAAGAGAGAAGGATTTAAAAGGAAGAGCAGCAAAGAGAAGGGAAACAACCATGGATTACAGTAAGGCACACATTACAGTATTGTTTTATGTTAAAAAATCTGACGGTTTAATGTCACTTTAAGGTTACTGTACTGTACATCACAATTTAGTAAATTAGGCCCATAGTGTGGCGGGTAGTGGTTTGTTAAACGATGAGTAGATGCCAAACATCTTATCAATCTCTGTGAGATATCAACCTGTCTATAGTCACGATAACTCATTGTTTTGATTATTTAAAATGAATTATTTATCCTGAAATGATATGATTGTTTAGGATGTGGATGGTGCCTTTATGAACAAAGCAGATCTGGAAGCCAAAGTGGGAATGCTGCGTGATGAAATCAACTTCCTCCAACAAATATACCAACAGGTAATTATTTATACAACATGTAATTTCCTAAACCTGTTAGGTTTGTCCACAGTGAGCGCATTAATTACAGTATATATTGCTATAAACTGATATTTGGTTCTGGTTCCTGATATAAACATAAACCAAGCATAAAAATATAAACGGCAGGCAGCAAAAGACACTCCCTCTTCAGGCAGAGCAGAACATTGTTGCTGGTATGTATTTGAAAGTCCACCGACGATTATAAATCATTTAAACCTTTCTTACATGGTCATTGAAACATATTAACAAAGAGACATTTGGTCTTCTAAGTATAAAAAAAGTAAAAAGTCACTACTGTTTTAAAAATATAAACTGACAATCTATTTTACAGAAAAATGATAACTAATATGTATGACTGGACAATGACTGAAAAAAACTGAAAGAGCCATGAAAAAAATATGTGCACTATTATGGTGTATATAACGAGACGTCAGGTTTAAAATGCAGATTATTTGATCAAAGACAATTGATACTTTATACATACTTTCCTTTTTCACTCCTATCTCAGTTTATTGCATTGTCTGCAGCAATATACAGTCAGATTACTGAAATAATATGTTCTTTCGCAAGGTTGGAGTATCCATTTATTTTTGCTACAATTAATGCAGCAAGTGCAAAGAAATTTTATGGCAGGGGGATGAGAACCAAGAGCTAATGTAGGGTAATCTTGAAGTCATTAGGATATACAGTACCTGAGATTCTGAGAACTGTTAAAACTCACACAAAAAAAACTGAATCAAAAATACATGCTGTGCCAATTACTGTTTTTTTCCCCAACAATGTTTATTGTTATATTTCAGGAAATAGATCAGCTCCATGCCCAAATTTCAGATACATCAGTCGTTGTGTCCATGGACAACAGCCGAGATCTTGACATGGAGAGCATCATTGCAGAGGTCAAAGCTCAGTACGAAGATATGGCTAAAAAGAGTCGAACTGAAGCAGAGTCTTGGTATCAAACCAGGGTGGGTTCTGTTATTTAGTACTTGTGTTTACTTTGCTTGTTGTTATACACATCGCACTGATGAAATGTTTGGTTGACTTGTTGCATTTATGTTTTTTACCTATGTGTTTCTTATTTTCTTTGTGTGCTTGTTTCCAGTACGAGCAGCTGCGGATCAGTGTGGGAAAACATGGTGATGATTTACGGAATACTAAGAATGAAATTGCCGAACACAACAGAATGATAAGCAGAATCAAGGGAGAAATAGAAAACGTAAAGTCTCAGGTATGCTGATATAAATATAACGCCATCATCTGGTGTCTGGGTATGTAAATGAAACGTTGGGTCAGTGTCTAAGAGCAATACGTACATCATACTAATAGCTAGAAATATTGCAGTACAGTGACTGCACATATGTACAAATAAAATCATCTTTTATTCACACTTCAGAGGACAATTAAAGTAGCATTGACTGTAACACCAGATCATTGTTTGCATTAAATGGCTCATATTTTATACAAGCATCTGTAGTAATCAGGGTCTGAACCTCCTATAACCCCTGATAAATTTTAATAGAATCTCCTTCCAGATGTTGTTTGAAGTGTTTGCCACACTAAAGTATCACCACAAAAATCTTATGCGGGCATAACGTGCTATCTCAGATCTATTGGTTGAGTTACACAAAAAACAGTAAAAGTAGGCCTCCTTCCATGTTACCACACAATGGTGTGCTATGGCACAGGTGGTTTTAGGTTTCCCCAGAAATTCATTAAAAAAATTACAAAGAGAGTAGCTATTATGATTTAAGCTATATACTGCTGAAAGATAGTCATGTTTGTGACTCTACAAAAGCTATAGTAGATATGTGCAATGACTGGCTATATGATCCATTACTAAAGCGAGAGCCAAACAGAATACAGTATATTACAGCATTGGGAGTATGGGAGGGTATTATTAAAAACCCTGCTGGTGTTTGGAACTTTGGAGATCTCTTTACACCCATAGATCTGAACTTTAAAAGGACTTACTATTAAATAACAAGATAATATCATGAAATGTCTCCACCATCATAAACGTTACTAGACATGTGCGATTAGTTTAGTTCCGAATCCAAATTCGGACGAAATTTCGGAAATTCTGAGTTTCGGATGTATCCGAATTCCGAATTACAGATATCACGAATGCAAACAAATCCGAATTTCTGATTTGTTTTTTTTGGACGAAATTTGGATGAAATTTCGTATCAGCAAAGTGACATTTGAGAACAAAAAACTTTTTTTCCCTCGTAAATGTCACTTTGCTGCAACGAACGAAACAACGAAACTAAACAAAATTTTGTACGGATTTCCGATAACGAATATCGTCCGAATCCAAATTCCGAAACGAATTGACTTTCGGACCCGAATTTCGAAAAACGAAATAAAACAAATTCCGAATCAAAACGAAACTAAACAAATTTTTTGCTGGTACACATGTCTAAACGTAAAACATATCTGCAAAAATGTAAACAAAAATGATGTGACAACAAAAATGAAACTCAGTAATTATAGTTTTAACTTGGGTATCTTGGTAGTAAAATGACTAGAACTCTTGCCTGACAAGGTTAGGTTCCCACATATGTTTCCCAAAGGCATTATCTGCACGGATTTGTATGTTTTTCCTGGGTTTTTATGATCTTTTCCACTCATATTCCCAAAACATACCAGAAGGTTAGTTGGTTTCGAACTAAATTTGGTCCTAAAATGTAAGCTGCTTTTTGACAGAGGCTGGTGTAAATTGTTTAATGTTCTCTGCAAAGTTTTGCAGAATAGGTGTTAGTGCTATCTAATGGGTATGACGGAAAAGTAAATAGTGTAAATTACATATAAATAGCATTTGTTTTATTATCCAAAGCGTGCTAAGCTAGAAGCTGCCATAGCAGAGGCTGAGGAACGCGGAGAAGCTGCAATCCGTGATGCCAAGAATAAACTGGTGGAGCTGGAAGATGCACTACAGAAGGCCAAGAAGGAGATGGCTCGCCTATTGAGAGACTATCAGGAATTGATGAACGTAAAGCTGGCTCTAGATATTGAGATCGCCACTTACAGGAAGCTTTTGGAAGGAGAGGAGTGCAGGTAGGCAAATAGGGCATTAGTGTTAACTTTTAAACAGCAGTAACAGTTATTCTTGTACATATAAAAGGCAGTTCCCTTTAAAAAAAATGGTAACCTCTTGCAAGTTAGTTTGTATAGTAACCCATGAAAAAAACAGAAAACATATATTTTTGCATTCTGCTGATAAAACCATTTTATGGAATATTAATTTGTATTAGCCTTCTAGTAAATACCTCTTTTTCTTGACAGGATGGCTGGAGATGGAGGCTCTGTCAGCATCTGTAAGTACTGTGTACAATTTAGAATTTTTTAGGTTTATTTAACAACAAGGGTGATACTTGTTTGTCAATTTACCTTCCTCTGTTAAACTCATGAAATGTATGGACTGTGCCCAATAGGGGTTAGTTAGCTACTAACATGGCTGTTCTTATACTGTACCCTCATACTGCCGTGAGAGTTTGTTTAATGAGGCACCTGCAGGTTTCTGATTGGGAATGGCAATGAAAAAGGTTAGAAAACCTTGTCCATCCACTACTTCTTTTTCCTGACAAGCAGGTGCTAAAGTTCTTTGCTGTTCCTCTCCATATCCTGCTCCCTTAGCTAAGCAACAACAATGTCTGGTCATATTCCTTTTATATCAATGATTAATTGACCACCAGAACAACAACCAGCAATGACTGCTACCACCTCGTCACAATTTGCCTGTAGCCTCCCATCCCACTTGCTGTTGGTAAAGATGTTTGCATTTTATTCATGGAAACTCAATATAGAATGCTTTTTCCTTTTTCCAGTACAAAAAAAGCAATAAATCAGACTTTGGTTCATCTCCCCACTAAAACTACTTTAAAGTTAAATTGAGTGATGTGCAGAGTAGATTAGAAAAGGATGGACTCATCTTTATTGATAGCCGATCAGAATTTAGCCTTTAGAATTTTAGTAAAGAGAAGCCTACTTCTGGTTGAATGTTGTGTGTTGCTATTTTGTTCACATGGTTGTCACAAGCAATACTTCTTTTTTACAGCTGTGGTGAGCTCCACCACTGGTGGAGTCATCGGAGGAGGGTATGATGGAGGCAGCGGATTTTACCATGGAGGATCAGGATTCAGCTCTGGAAGTGGAAGAGGTTTAGCTGGCAGCAGATTTAGCTCTGGAAGCACCATGAGCTCTAGCGGTGGATACATCACCACAGGAGGAATCCACAGCAGCTCCACTGGGGGAACAGTACACCCTGGCGGGTACTCTTCAGGAGGTAGTGGCAGCTCTTCTGTTAATGTCACAAAAACCACATCATCCACAAGAAAAATCTAAATTTTAAAAGCTGCAACATGCAATCTTCTAACCTGCAAGTAACTTGTGCTCTAATGTGTTTCTAATTCTTCAGATTCTTTGACAAACAGAAAATAATCACTAAACACCTTCAAAACAAAGTGATGCTCAATCACTTTGGTACCCAGTGTGTAATCTATCTACGTATGACCAATATTGTACCATGCATTGCATGTTTTTTGCATAATGCACTAAAGAAAGGGGGACCTAACAAGGGCTCCTATGCAGTTATGTGAGACACCTGTGCATTTTTTTGACCACAGTTAGTGGAACCTAGTGCCAAAACTGTATCAATCTGTGCATGGTAAATCTAATTTTGTTTCAATATATCATTCACAGTTCCCTTTGGCTGTGCAGAAATAGGTGAACTGCATGCATAATAGAGCACAGTTTGCTTTTCTTACACTTTCAAATTTTACTTTGCCAACTTAATTCTTTTAAGCATGTTACTAGCTAAGGCTCAAGGCAGAATCTCAATGAATAGTCACTACAGTCACCTCTGCCAAACACACTCTGGGGTCGGTTTACTAAAGATAAATAGGTTATTCACTTTGCAAAGGAATTTACACTTTGCAAGCAAATGTCTCCTTAATTTAGTGGAAAAGGTGAAGCTCTGTTGACTTCCATCATTCAATCATGTGCAAGTAAAAATATTTTTTTTAATTTTCCTTGTGTGTCATTGGGTATTCTTTGCAAAATTAGTTTTCACCACATTCACTAGGCTAAGGGGAAATTCCCTTGCAAAGGGAAAGGTCCTTTGCAAAGTGAACAGCCTATTAGCTTTTAGTAAATCAATCAATCTTGGCTGCAAGATGCATTGAGTTACTGTACAAATCATTGATTTTTTAAGGTGACTGCAGCTCTTGTGTATATCAACATCTGACTAGGTGCTTTTGGCTTCTGCACTTTGCATTTTATCATTATTCTTTCCACTGTATTACTAATTTAACCTTCAATATATGCTGATAACTGCTAATTTTCAGATTGTTCTCAATGCAGAATCCCCAGAATTTTACATTTCTATCACTCTGTATCACTTTATCATTAAAAGTTGGTAAAGTCACAATTGGCTACTTCTTCAGGCGTGGGGTCATACTATGCTACAAAAGTGTGTCGATGCTTTCCACCTACTGGACTGAATTTATTGTTCGAATTGACTAGGTCTAAGTCATATGTCCCACTTCTGAAACAGAAGAAAAATACAGCTATTACAAAAGAATATTTTGTGAAATTAAATACATGGATAGATAAATGTGGGAAGTCTAGGCTACAAATAACAGCTAGTCAGATGTTTGCTTTCATTTTCTGATTTTATCAAAATGAAAGCATGAATCTGCTCAGTTGGTATTGGTTAAACACCTCATTGTATAATTACTTAATTGGTCTCTGAAATGGAAAATGTCTGAACAAATGGAAATATTCTGTGGTGTGTTTAGTGTGTCTTATTTTCTTTTCTGCTTTTTTGTTTGTTTCAAGTAAACATGCTAATAAAGTACAACGTTTGCAATATCTTTTGTGTGTTTTCTTAAATAACAATGGCTAAACATAAAATTATAACTTAAAAGCAAACTCCAGGCAGATACAAAACACAATTTACATGTTATGCATTCCTTTTAATACAATACAAGTGTTTTTGCATGCTGCTAACATATGTTCCTAAATATGTTTCAATATTAGACTTCTGTCATCCCATGTAACTTAGCACTCAGACTGGGAGAGGGAGGGGCAGCATTGGCAGCCAATCAGACTCTGCTGCATGCACATGTGGTGACAAGTGCAGAGAGAAAAGTTGATGACTTTTTAGTGTTGCTGCTCCTTCATTGTCCAGCAGGCTTTGGGCAAGATGACGATGCCATTATTTACTATTATGGTACAAGAGTAAGTGTCCGTTCAAACCAGGAAGCTACACCTAATGCATGGGCACTGGTGTGTGCTGGCAGAAACAGTGTATTGCACCTTTTTTTTAGAACTTGATGCGTTCATAATGCATCTGTGAACACTCAGTCCACACAGAATGCATATACATCCAGTGCTGCAATCCAATATACTCCTCACAGCAGTCTCTCCACTGCATATAATTGATTGAAAGAGTAAACCTGGCTCACATTGTGTGCGTTTCCTGCTGAATCAGCCACAATTTTATATTGGTTTTAATTTAAGTGGTTGGCTGTTATGTCCTTTACTGCTACCTTGTTGTTACCCATAATCGCACACTTTTTAACTTTTTCTGTGGCCTTCTTCAGTTATTTTGCATTGCAGGTAATAATGGCCACCTGCATGCATAGCTAGTTCTTTCCAGAGTGTCCCCGAAACGTCACCAATTTCTTCTGCTTGTGCCATTCTGTTAGGCTATCCCTCACATTTGCTGGCCGAAAGCAATGTGCAGGCGGCTGACAGGGGCATGTGTCACAGCAAATATTTCTGCTATTGTTGCAATTTGTATTACAGAGAACCCCACGACACGTGTATGAGTAGAAGGCTCCTGCTATCCTATCTTAAGATGTTAAATAAAGTCTCAGGCGTACTCTAAAAAATGTTTTGGTTTACAGTGTGCTTATTATAGTAATTCCAAGTTATTATCCTAGTAGTAGGTGCATTAGCCGCCATGAGAGCAAACAGAGAAGCAAGAGATGGAACTCATTACCAGTAATAATGTGGTATAGTTCCTCCCAAGGAAGGCAAGACAAAAGTAAAGTGTGTAGTAGTCACTTCGGTTGTATGGAAACAGCCCGGCTGTCCAGGACTTTTTTATTCACCCAGACATAGATAATGGGAACGTTTGGAAGAGGCTGAGCATGAAATTGGGGAAGGGGGGTGTTCAGGGGCAGGAGTGGGGCCAATACCCAAACTATAACAGATATAAAATATTTATTTCTTGAATTGGTATTACACCCTGCTATCCTTTACAGCCAAGGAAGGTACCATGTTAGCCTCTCTTTGGATTGCAGTTGCCATGGGGCTGCATATGTGATCAGCGATAACACCAGACATTTGAGGGCTTGAAAGTTCAGTTGGGAGTTAAAATAAGAACACTGGTAACCTTGACAACTGGCAGGCCTTGAAAGTAACTGTTTTGGGAGATATTTAATTAGTGGGTCAAATTCCACTTTAATGCCACACAGCAACTTTATTTTACTTACATGAGTTTAACCCTTCCACACTCTCAACAAAGTAACAGTTGACAAAGAAAATGACCCATGTAAGCCATTCATTATTTTCATCATCATAAACTACAATCACTAACATAACCACCGCTGTTGCTTCACAGTGTGTCACAATCCCTTGTCATAGGAAGCAAACACTGGCCAAGCATTATTGTAACAGACTGGTTTGAAAGAATGGTATTTTTTGAGGTGCCAGGTGATAAGTGGCCCACCCAAGGCATCATAGAAAAGGAAATTGGCTTACACTTAAACATTTTTTAAAGATTTTACAGCATGTTAAGCAGTATGTAGCACTGTAAATGCATCTATTACCAGTGTCCCATATGCAAAAGTGCTGTAACTGCCCAGAGGAACTTATTTCATAAGTAGGGAAGAGCTTTGGGTTCAGGTTGACCATGATTTCAACCCAAATTCAAGTTGTTGGCAGTTCAGGAAAACGTTGAACTGATGCGATTGTTCGCCACCATAGCAACCAATTGCCAATCATGTACTTCCTGGCTTTTGACCTTAGGTCAGGTGGCTTAGAAGGGCCAATAAGGGGGCTTTCTTTTGTGCTAACCCTCTCTCTATACCTAAGTCAGTGCTATTAGCAGCCTTTTGTCAGTGTGTGTGGAGTGAGACATGGAGTAGATAGGAAAAGCTGACAGGGTGTTGTTTGCAGGGAGAGATAGTTGCTGTTATACAGTGCTGCTATAATGCTGTGCACTATAAAGTGCTGTATTGTGCTGTATTACTGCAGTGAATTGTTGTGTTTTGGCGCATGAAGTCAGTTCTGTATTTTGATACATAATTGTGAATAGCAGTGTTTTAGCGTTCGATATTATTGTGTACCCATTTCTGTGTAAACAGTGAATAGACGCTAGGTCCTTTTTAGGACTACCTTTGTGTGTGCGACCTTTGCGACAACTTCACTTACTATTTAGCTGCTCAAAACATTTTTTGTTTGTTTGTTTTATTGTGTTTTTCTAAATTTTATTTTATCTTCTTCTGTTTCTTTTTTACTTTCAGTTAGGTTTAGTTAGGCTTGGGAGTGTTTTAGGGTTGTAGTTTAGTGTTTTAGGTTTTATTTTTTTGAGGGATGTATATTTTATTTGGATATACTTTTGCTAGGGACTATTATTTTTTATCATTTTATGCAAGAGGATGTTCAAGAATTCTTGTTATCTGATGGGGAGGAAGAGAGTGAGGTCAGGCCTTGTATTTGGAGCCGTGGTCTTGGATTTAGAGAGAGTGCCAAGAGCAAAAATGAAGGGAACAACATGCAATTGCCATTGATGTTGCTGCAGCTTACTTCCAAGTGGGCTTCAGTGATGAGAATTTCTGAAGTCGGCTTCATCAAGGGATATATCTCGCTATCACAACGATCGGAGTCAGAATATGGTATGTAATTTGCAAAATGTGGCCTACAACAAAGTGTTTAAATACTGTTTATACAGTCTGTACACTAATAATACCTTTTTTTTCTTCTTGTGAAATACAGTATATACACTTTATTGTGGATTTTTGTGAAGAAAAGCTACCTGGGTTTGCCATTTTTAAAAGGTGCCATCTGCTGCAATGCTGTCTATAGTAGACGTGCATTCATTCTTGTCCGATCTGACTTTTGGATATTCAGATACATCTGAATATCAAAAGGAAATGAATAACAAATTCGAACGTATCAAAATTTTTGCTAAAAAAATTCAGATGCATCTGAATTTTGCCCAAATGTAATTAAAAATGAACTAATGTTGTTAAACGTGAAAATAAAATAAAAATAACCGCATGCCCCCCCACCCCCCTTCCCATTCCTACCAGACCCTTTAGGTCTGGTAGGAA